CATTCTTTGGGTAGTCCTATATCAAGCTTGCTCATATCATTGTGATTGGCCCCTTTTTAGGGGCAGCTAAAGCTAAAAATAGAAATACATTTAAACGTCTATTTCTACAGCACTAATAAATGGATGATCACCAAACTTTGTTTGTAGCATTCTGGTGTAGTCTTTTATCAAGTTTGCTCATATATATTAGATTGGTCCCTTTTAGGGGTCTCTAGGTCTAAAAATAAAAACCCTTTAAACGTCTTCTTCTATAGAACTAATTGATGGATGATCACCAAACTTTGTCTGTAGCATTCTTGGGTAGTTTTATATCAAGTTTGCTCATATTAATGTGATTGGCCCCTTTTAGGGGGCAGCTAAAGCTTAAAATAGAAATACCTTTAAACGTCTATTTCTACAGAACTAATTTATGGATGATCACCAAATTTTGTAGCAATCTTAGGTGCGCTTTTATCAAATTTACTCATATTAATTTGACTGGCCCCTTTTAGGGGTCACTCAAGTCAAAAATAGAAAAACCTTTGAACATCATTTCCTACTGAAATAATTGATAGATGATCACCAAACTTTGTAGCATTATTAGGGAGTCTTTAATCAAGTTTGCTCATATGAATTTGATTGGCTCAAATTTAATATCAGAAATATTGACAATGGATAATTTCCAATACTGAAAAGCAGTTGTTTCTGGTGAGCGACTCAGGGCCATCATTGGCCTCTTGTTTTCGAATTGTGTTCTTGACAAAATACAGTTCATTTCTATATCAAATATCCATTACTCACACTGATGGCGGTATAACATTAAGGATATTATTTTTCGGCTTCTTCATCAATATATTAAGGTTTATTTAAATAAGACTATGTCAGTGTTTTAATTGCTTAAACGTCCATCTATTTCAGAGAATTTTAATGCTAGATAAGGAACAAAAAAAAAACACATATGGATCGTAATGTGCACATTGCAATTATTCCATTAATTCGGTGCTGATTTCAAAACAATATATCTAACAAGGTTTTGAATGTATGTTTTTTATCATTACATATCAAAGTTGTGTTATTGTAAAGAAATTTGTATATTTTTAGCATTTTGCTTATCCTCATGTTAAATGTCTGACACACTATAACCCACTAAGACAACAGCTTCTTATAGATTGAATCAAATGACATTGCATAAATGGATAGCTATAAAGTGAAAATGTATGTATAGGATCGGATAGTATTTGGATTCTTTATACATTTAACAGTTCATATTTAACAATTTTATTTACAAAATAAACTCAAACTTGCAAAACTAATCGTAACAATTGTCGCAAACTTTGCGATTTTCTTGCAAGTTAAACATGTTTTGATTCATTACATATTTTTGTTGTTTCATAACCTTTTATAGCAAAGTTAAATTGAACTATTTTTCATTTGAGTATGCTCCTGACTTTGTTAAAGTGATAAGAAAACTCCATAAATTTATTATTTCATTATAAAGTCCTTTCTATTTTTCCCGCCGCATGCTTTGTATGCTTTTCTTATTTATTTCCCCGCCTTTATAGGTATATAAGCTTAGATGATTTAGCATACAAGTCAGAAACCTTTAGGTTCTAAGTGTGTAAGGTATTCTTGAAACTATTTTTGATTAAAATTTAAGTGACATATTTTGGAAATTTAAAATTATTTAGTTTCTTTGGTTATATTTAAAGATAAAATGGTTTTATATGAGTTTGTTAAAATTGAAAACTGTTAAAATGTTAAAACGTTTCTTGTGTTCAGTTTTTTCCCTTATATGTCCTTATATTTCAAAGTAATTGTTATAAAAAATAGTTATAACAAATACTTAGTAGTGAAAAGCTTAATACAAAGGGTGACAAAAATTCAAACTCTGTTCCAGTGTGGAATAAAAATTTCAGTCTTGAAAGAAAACGAAAGTCTACCACAGGAAGTGTAAATAAATGTATTAAATATTGTTGCGAAATGATGTGAAGTGTTACTTTTAAAACGTAGATTGCTGGTTGCTAGCTATGCCAAGTTAAATAAGGTAGCTTGCGTGTAATTGTGAAGTGTTATGTTTTTTGCATTCAAATATTAGAAGTGATGTGTTTTAAAGCAGCTCACCTCCATAAGATAGCAGAAAAACTGCCGTCTGCTAATATTTCAAAATCCCCCCCTCAAAAACATTATATAGATGAAAGAAATCGAAATGACACCTAAATGTTCATATTATAACATTATAGCTCTGAAAACAAACAGTTCACTTTTCCACCAAAGGGAAAAAAACTTCTTTTACTATACCAAGGAATTCTTTCATCTGGGTTTTTCTTCTATTATGACGTGATCGTACAGGACAATATCGCGACCTGTGCTCCGCAACGCACGGAATCCGGGATTTTATCAAACATATAGGGATACGAATAACTGCTTTTGTTTTTTTATTTGTAGTAATTCATGGCACTAAAATTATAATTGATTAATTATTTTATATATATGATAATCAATTAATCGATTTAACTTTTAGCTTGAAATGTGATACTTAATAACGAAAATTGATTAACGATCCCGGGCATACCGGATACCGGGATTTTTCCGGACCACTGTTGTGACACATGACCTCGTTAAATGAATTATCTTCTCCTATTTATATTGGCTACTGCGTTAGTAGCGTAGTAGATTATGAAAAAGAAAAACCCGATATATTAACGCTTTTGTCAACATCCTTTCTTGAATCAAGGTGTCAGTAATGATGGATTTATACAATAAACCTAACTAGATCACTATTTACTGTTTACTTGAAATTTTATTTCATTTATTTCATTTTGCTATCTGAAGGTCAGTGGCTTTAATGGCATGAAAAGTGTCGGGAGCAAAGTGTAAACAAATGTATTAAAAAGGGAATTGTGTTGTGCTTTCATGGATTATATAAAACATTAAAAGAAATACATAAAGGATATTCCCTTAAATGTGCGTGTTTATAGAAGTGTTTATAAAATTAAGTGTGAAAATGACTACGCTCAAATATCTTAAAAGAGTACGAACAAGGTTCGTGAACACATTATAAAGGGAGATAAATAATCGAAAGGAACTTGAAAGTCTAGATTTAAGTGTCGTTGATAAAAAGGAAACATTATCAAAAGTGATAGTGTCAATCGATAAACTACAAAAATATATGTCAAAACTTGAGACTCAGTCAGAAAAGGTGATTGTTAGTGCTGAGAAGCAAAAGGACGATATAACAGACCTAATAATGTCTGAATATACTTAATTGTTAGAAAATGCGTTGGAATTGACTTCAAGTTTGAAAGTGTTTGAAATACATTTTAACGATTTGATTGAAAGTGATACAATTGCAGGTGAATCTAAACCTGTTGAAAATACATAATTAAAGGAAGTTATTCAGCTGCAAAAAGACTTTCTTGAAAGTAAAGTACTAGAATTTTCTAATCTTAAAAGGAATCATGTGAAATTACCAAAACTTGAAATTCACCCTTATTATAGCGATAGACTTAAATGGACCAAATTTTGGCAGTCTTTTGAAAGTTCAATACATTCAGGTGATACTCTTAGCAATATTGATACATTCAATTACCTCAGGAGTTAACTTACGAGTGAAGCAAAGTGTGTTATAGCAGGATTATCTCCTTCGAATGAAAATTATTCAGCTGCAATTAAGACCTTACAAGATTGATTTTGAAACATTGAAGAAACAATTGATATGCACTACAATAAGATAGTGAATTTGAGATCAGCGATAAGTGGTAAGTTTACGACATTTATGTGACTCTGCTCAAAGACATCTGAGAAGCCTTGAGGCTCTTGGTCAGATTGTTAATCAAGACATAATTGTGTCGGTGTTAAAGTTAAAACTGCCATTTAATGTGTTAAGACAACTGTAAATTAAAATGGGTTTGAGTAAAAAGTGGACTATGTGTTATTACGCGGCATAATATTTGAATATGTTACTGCTTGTGAACGTGCTTCAACAGTTAAAAGTGATTTTTTTCAAAACTGAAAGGCATTTTATCAAAACAACCATTACCAAAACTTTTCTAAAGTCAATTTTGCACATTCCACTAAACCAGTACTTGGAACAGCATTGACAACTAGTTGAACAAAAGTAGTGCAGAATAGGAACTATTCTATAAAATGTAGATAATGTTCAAAGAGTCATTGGAGTGACGTGACGAATGTCCATAATATAAAACAATAGATGAAAGAAAGGGTTGCTTCAACAAAAGCTGTTATAGATGTTTAAAAGAGGGACATAGTTCAAAAGAATGTCAGAGTAGAAAGACATGTGTGTATTGTAATGAAGAAAATGTACACCATAGAAGTTTGCCCTAAAAAAATAAGAAAAGTGTGATTAAAGAAAGTGCGCATGTAACAGAAGAAGGAAATGAAAGTGAAAATGAGCAAATCTAAATGATGAAAATGAGCTTTTATCATGCAAGGAAAAGGTGGTAATGCAAACCACAAGTGCAATACTGTGTAATGAAAATAAACTGATAAAAGAAGATGCGAGGATATTGGTAGATTCGGGTTCACAAAGAATATATATAACAGAAGAGTTTGCAAAGAAATTAAAATTATGTATAGAAAATGAACAGGAAATAACTTAAGCTACATTTGGAAGCAAACAGTCAAAGAAGATTAAAACTGCATCTGCAAAAAATAAACTGAAATCTAAATGTGGTGAGAAACTTGAGATTTACTGTGAACATTGTTCCGAACATCACCGGTGTAATACAAAAAGATCGGTGGAATTCGAAAATAGAGAGCGTTTTCATTAATTATAAAAGAATTTGCATTTTGCCGACAAAATTCCAGAAAAATATGAAAGTGACAAAATTGATTTACTGATTGGAAGCGATTATTACCTAGACATAGTAATTGGACATAAAATTGAAGTTCAAAAAGGTTTATATCTGTTATCATCAAAGTTAGGTTGGATACTCACTGGAAGAACAGGAGAAAAATGTGACAATGATTGTGATACGAATCTATTAGTGATTGGTAATGAAATGTGTTTTCCAAATGCAGAAGATTTATCATGTGTAGATGATTGTATTTCAACTAAAGTGGATATTGAAAACTTTTGGAAATTAGATTCTATTGGAATAAGGGATGAAATAGTTAACTGTGATGATTCTAATGCCATGTCACAATTTATTGAGAATCTTTCGTATAAAGATGGTCGATATCACGTGTCTTGGCCGTGGAAAGATGAAAACCCAGAGATACCTGAGAATAGACAACTTGCAGTAGGTCGTCTAAAATCAGTCGTCAGAAAACTTGAAAACCATCCTGATTTGTTACAAAAATATAGCAGTGTCTTGAAAGAACAATTAGAAAATGGAATCATTGAAAAGGTGACACAAAATAAAAGAGATGGACTGTGTCACTATTTACCTCATCATGCAGTTGTTAAACCTGATCATTCAACAACGAAGCTAAGGATAGTATATGACGCATCCGCAAAAACAAAACTAGATCATAACAGCTTGAATGAATGCCTTTATAGAGGACCTGTTCTATTGCATGATTTATGTGGAACATTGATAAGATTTCGTAAGCATAAAATAGGTATTGTATCTGATATTGAAAAGGCTTTCCTCCAAATAGCATTAAATACCGATCAAAGAGATGTTACAAGATTTGTATGGCTAAACGACACAGAAAACACATCAATTGATAATAGTTAACAATAGTTTAGATTTTGCCGTGTTCCATTTGGTGTTACATCAAGTCCGTTTTTACTTAGTGCTACAATTGAATACCATTTGGATTCTAACAAGAACGCTTTACCCAGTCAATTAAAAAGGGATATCTATATGGATAATTTTATAACTGGTGTAGATACAGTACAACAGGCCGAAAGAGTGTACACACTATCGAAGCAAATCTTTAATGATGCAAGTATGAATTTAAGAGAGTGCACTGCGAAAAAGACATGGATATACGGAAGTGTACGGAATTCCGTATATCATTAATATACGTGTAAGAATACGGGAAACTTGAAATACGGAGATGTACGGGACCGTATATTATATCAGTCCGTATATGACTCATATACGAACTCCGTACACTCGTAATATACGGGAACTTTGATGTACGAAGTCCGTATTTTACTAATATACGGAATTTTTATAACAAGTCCGTATATTACTAAAATACGAAATTCCGTATTCGTGCAAATACGGATTCTGTATATAGAAGTAGCGATGAAAATTTACTTCTGAATAGCCTATTTCCTGTAAGAGTAAAGAAATAGTCTGATCATATATTTATCAGACATTTGACAATTAACACAATGCAAAATTTCCTGGAGTTATAAACGCGTCAATTGCGTACAAATAATATCGTCAGTGCACAGAACGTGTATTCTAGCTCAATACCGCTTGGTTTGCTTTTTAGCATACACCCGCAGATAAATAGCGAATACTTTACAATTGCGATTCACGATTAGATAGTACTGTTTTGCATTTTGCATCTATGGTGAATCATGTTATTTTTGTAATATCCTTTTCATTATCATTATAATATCTTATAATGATAAGCCAAACATGAGAAAATGATAAAGTTGAAATTGTGATGTTCAAAACATGAATTAAT